TGTTTTCTTTCCAGACATAAGTTTATTGATGTCAGCGTTAAAACACTTTTTGAAAATGCACTACATTTAGTGTGTATTGATTGCATAATCCCATGCCTATACACATTATTTTGACCGAGATAATAGAGAAATTTGTTCAGTTCCTCGCAAAGTTCTTATTGCCAAAAAAACCCACTCAACTTTTATTTTATAATAAATGAAATTGTTACAAATATTTGCATGTAAAAGATCCTCTACTGTTCTGGGATCATCCTTCATAATTAATATCTAATGTTATTCGTCCATCATTCATTGTAAATCGACTTCAGATTCATTAATTTGTTTCATGTCAAACTCACTGTTTTGTTTAGACGCCGACCGATTTATATATATATATATATATATATATATCATTGTTGGAAGTGTTACCTGATGATCTGGAATCCTTTAAAAAGGATTTTGGTGAAATAAATTATTGTAATGGTACCTTAAAGTGGTCTGTTTTTCATTAAATTAATTATATATATATATATATATATATATATATATATATATATATATATATATACAGACAAAACAAACAGAGACACACACACATGCGCACACACAAAACAAACACACACATATATATATATATATATATATACCTGAAAATTGCATTCAAACATAAAACATAGTCGCCACTCACTGTTGACTTCAGTGGCCCCTTTTATATTCAAATACGCTTTATACCTGATACTGAGAACTTTTACCCATTCCTTAAAATTATTTTTATCATATATATATATATACGTATATGTGTGTGTGTGTGCGTGTGTTTGTGCGTGTGTGTGTGTGTGGCTTAAAGGTTATCGACGCGGAAAGTGAAAAGAGGGAGTCAAGTTCAAATTCGAGTCGATTGTGTATCGCTCACTCATAATATCGCTGAAAAATGTATGAATCTTCATCCAGATATAGGTTAAATACCATTTGGCAATTTTTGCTTGCCCGTAAGGTGACGGTCTAGGTGGAGGAAAATATCTCAATTCAAACTATTCAAGTGGGTCATATTAAAGTCATTAATAATCAAAACATCTGTGCAGTTAGCATCATTTTGCCACCAAACAAATTGACAGACGAGTCCATTACATTTATCATATATATATATATCTATCTATCTATCTATCTATCTATCTATATATATATATATATATATATATATATATATATATATATATATATATATATATATATATTGTGTGTGTGTGTGTGTGTTATATAAACCAATTATATGCATTTACATATTGGCCGTGCAGTCTAACAGAAAGTATTAGTCAATGCCATTAGAAACAAACATTAGTAACTAATAAGACTTGGTTGTTCGTACATTGCTTTTCTCTTGTTTTCTTTGGATAATTATACATTTAATGGTTTTAAACGTAATTCCTTTTCATTTGTGATCGTCATTTTTCAACAGACATTTGTAATCTAGGAAGACATATTTGAATTGATTGTCTTTAAATTAAACTTTAAATCGTCAAATAACTAGCAAATAAAACTCTTAGTTGCCTAAAATATAACAAAATGTTATAAAGTTATTCGCAATGCAAACTGATGAAAATTCTGTACAATCGGAGATTTTATTTTCTTTAAATCGTACGCTTATTTTTTTTATTATTCTAATATTAAAAAAATATAAAAATTCGAATAGATGTGTGTGTGTGTGTGTGTGTGTGTGTGTGTGTGTGTGTGTGTGTGTGTGTGTGTGAGAGAGAGAGAGAGAGAAGCGAGAGAGAGAGAAAAAGAATGAAATATATATTTTTAGTTTATTTTCTGTTAGTTTCTTTCAAAAAATCATCTCAGTAATATAGCCATGATTTTGATGTTTGCCGGTAGACTCCAACATATAGTCCCCATCTATCTATCTATCTATCTATCTATCTATCTATCTATCTATCTATCTATCTCTTGCATTTTCCCTTTCTTTTCCCTCTCTCACTATTCCATTCCATAATGCTTTTGACTCTATAGTTATAAATCGTTCTAATTCATTTTAATGATCTTCCTGGACTTCTTGAACTTCTTCGTTCTCTCTTATGATCTTGTTTTCGAATGTCACATGATGAGAGTGATTAGAATAGCTTAAAACAATTTCCTTCTTATCAGAGATCCTTTGTCATTCTTATTAGGCTTCTTTTTATCACGATTATTTTTTAATATTTTCTAATGCTAAAATTGTCCCATGGAAACTGCAGGAAATCAAATGGCACAAAACTTACTTATCTGTAGATGACTTTTGTTAATTTTTTCAATTTTCTCGGTAAACTTGCCTTTTTACTCTGCATTACTAGCGAGATTTTTTTTTTACTTCTTGGTCTAACATCGTAATGATATTGGCAGAATGAATATCTTCAGTTACCATCCCTAGGTTCAGACATTTCTCATTAATGCTATTGTACTTGTCATTATCCTTTATATGTTTTGTTGCACTTAGGATTTTTATTTAAGCGAAATTATGAAAGAGCAGATAATGCATTGTAGCAGTGGCTACGATCATGGCGTTCAATCTCCTTCTTATTATTACTATTATTATTGTTATTGCTGATGTTTTTATTACTTGTAGTGGTTAAGCATTAAAAAAAAAAACTGTACATTTTAAGGCTTACGACAGTATCACGATTAAACACCGGTTTTTGTACGATCGCCAGAGTTAAGCAACGTTGTACCTGGTCAGTACCTAAATGGGTAACCGCTTGGGAATACCAGCTTGGATGGGCGGGTGGTGTAATGGATAATGGCTGGGAATTGTTAATCGGAGAGTCGAGTTCAAAAAATCAGAAACTTCACTAATCTGATTATTTCAGTTCTTACAATAAACCCCTTTCTTACATCCACCCCTTTCTTACATCCACCCCTTTCTTACATCCACCCCTTTCCTACAAGTGAAATGTCGCTACTCTAACGCTATTACCATGGTAAATGTTCAAACGAGCTACATTTCCGAAAATCGCTACTTTGTGGAACAGACTCTCTGGAAATATCGGTTCCCTTAACAACTTCGAGTCTAGGGTAAAACATCATCTATTCTCCATATCCTCATAGCCTTCAGTTAATTCGCCCATACACTTACTATGTCCATACAACAACCGCTAATCCGCTACTTTGAGTGGGTCTTGCATTGGATTAACATTTAGTAAAAAATTCACATAATATTTTTAAATGCTTCCAAATAACATTTTTGTTATGTTTGTGTCATATGTTTTAAAACGAGCAGCTATGCTAAAGATGAGACATCATACTGATTTACAGTCTGCCTTCAAGCCGTAACATCTCTGATGATTATGACTCTAATGATGATGATGATGTTGATGTATCATGACACACTCGACGATGAAACAAATTTTTTATTATAATTATTGTTTTTTCCCTTTGTTCTTGTTATTGTTATAATCGCATTTAAGGAATCGTTGATGTGGCAAGGAAAATGCAACCTCTGGCGTTATAAGGAAAAGAACAAAACGTAAAAATTAATATTACTCATCTAAAACATTTTGAAAAAAAAAAGTGTGAAATTTGTAGTGGATGCTTAAATTTTCCAAGAACTGACCAGACAATTCTTTGTCTTCAATTCATTGTGTCTGAATGGACTTTCCTTCATGTCTTAACACAATTCATCATATAGACAAATTTACATATATATTAATATAGATACAAAGGAAAGAAGGAATTGAAAGATAAGAAATTAGAAAAACGAAATAATGCTTGTGGCCGCGCTTGTATATATTTAGTACAGATATTTACATGGCCACAAATGATAATATGATACAAGATCAGGTGCGTATAAGTAGAGGCAATAATTGCCTTCTCCGTGTGACTGACTTGTGACCCAATGCAGGAGTGTTGCCACGTAGCTGGAATCTCCTGGAACCAAGAAACGTTTCATTTGTACCATGACTTGCCTAACAACGTGATACAACTTATCCTAGCCATAACAGCGTAATGTGATATTTAATAAGTTGTCTTCACAGTTAGCTAAGAACTGAAATTATACTAATTGGAGTAACTTTAAATATTTCTAAGGGTTTGGTTACTGTTTAAGTGCATACTTTTCGGCAGATTTCTTTTTATCTATGTACAACAGATGGGGAGCACAGGACATTCAATGATAAAATTAAATCCGAAAAATATATTTCTGAGTGATTAATAATATATTTACATTTAAAATTTAAATGATTATTTTTTTAAGAATGCTTATTTTGCCATCGTAAATATATTAGCTGTGAGGGTAACATCGAAATATTACAAAACCATTCAGTAATGCTTGAATGCTTTTCATTGTTTCTTTCTTTTCTCTGTGATTGTCAATAGATTTGTAAGAACTTTACATTATTTTGTTATTTGTTAATTGTTCCAATTTTGTTGTAATAAGTTTAAAACCACTTTTACTAAGACAAACAAATAATCCGTTCAAATAAGCTTATTTATTTAAAGTTTATATTTGTTTCAAATGTTTCTTTATTTGGGGTGTCTCTTTAAGCTGTCGAATAAGAAGAATTTGGTCCATTAATTAATTTTTCTGATTTAAATAAAGTGAAGCTGTGTTCAAGCATGTTTATACATAGATATTAGTGAGCTGCGTGTTTTAAGCGAGCCTTTCTTTTATTTTAGAGACGAAATAAAAAATCAACAGTGAGTTATTTTAAAAAATAAATAAAATACGTTCACTAGTTTTTTCTTTAGAAGTGTACACTGGTTGACTTAGAGCGTACTTCCATTGGTTATTCTTGGGTATAAAAGTTTTCTTGTGACTTATGCTTTCTTTTCACTATCTTGAAGGATTCCCATCATTATTTTTCTTGCTTTTGAGAAATTCACTACGAGGTTGTAAATGTTTCCTTAGTAACACAACCAAAGAATTTGTTATCAGTATCTTGTGAAATCATTGAGATTACATCTGTCTGTTCAGTGAAATGGCTTGTCTGTACCAGTGTTTTCTTACTGAACTAAAGTTATTTAGACTATTTGATTGGCGGATTCTCGGTTCAAGTAATGTCCGAAAAGTATGAAGTATTTTGTTCGGAAACAGTTACAGTAAATAAAGGAAGAATGAAAAGAAAAAAAATATGAATGAATAAAATGGGAAAAGAAGTGAACAGAAAAATAAATAAATAAACAATAAATATAGAGATGAAAAAATAAAAACGAATGAAAAAGAAATAAAAATCAGAAAAATGAAAATCATCAACATGAATAAATGAAATGTTATCATGAACAGAAAGACGACGAGAAGAAAAAATAAAAGATGAAAAGACGGAAAAAGGAAACAAAACATATATGACAGAAAAATGAAAGAAGTTCCTAAGGAAAATAAGGAAGAAAAGCGATAAGTGTAAAAAGAAAGTGAAAAAACAATCAGAAAAAAGAAAGAAAGAATACAATAAAATGATCTACATAAATTACAAAGTTGTATGAAGAAAGCCGTAAAAAATATTTTAAAAAGTAATACTGTGGGTATTGTAATAGTTTCCATAATTTCATTGGCGCAGTTTGTGGGGAAGTGAATTTTTAAATTGATGAAGATCATAATTTATCAGTCGAAATGTTAAGCTAACGATTCATTAAGAGAAAAGTATATGACTATATGACAACGAAACACTATTCAAAGCATTGTAAATATTTGTAGGAGAAAGGGCTGAAAAGTTCTTGTCCCAATTAGAAAGAGACAAAAAATAATTCAGATGTTTGGTTATTCGGTCAGACTTTGGGAAATAGGTGGGGCTGAGAACTTTTCGGTGCCCCTCATAAATGCTGAATAGAAATTTTGAGCTAAAGAAAAACGTTTGAAATGAACATATGAATAGAAGAGGAATGAATGGCATCCAAAAATATCAAATCTAATAGAATTACAGGAAATTATTGATTTTTTAGTGCATATAACCAAAAGAGGTAGTTTCATTGTTTTCAGGATCGAACATTTAACCGCAAACCAGACTTGCAGAGGATTGCTCTTTTCTCTTTTACCATCAAGGTTTTCGTTCGCATTTTATTTCAATGCTGGTTTCGGTCTATGCAGGACTTTTGTCATGCAGGTCTACCATTGACAATTCTTTTTCTTTTAACAACAGTTACGTACATTATCTGCCTATATTTCTGAGATGAGGTATTATGTACATTATTTACATTATTCGGACTATTTTCCTCATCTTTGTCGCCATATTTATTACAACGTTTCGGTTTCTTCAGGTGGTTGGAATGTCGAAATGAACCCTTTATTTCGCTCACCGGGGTAGACTGTTCTAGTTCTACGTGCCATGTTTAATGTATGTTATCAGTTATCTCCTGATAATTGCCCTCTCCAAGTTCCCCACTGCCTTAGCCGGGTATTGAACTCACACTCTAACCAACGCCTTTATCCACTCTGCCATGTGTCCTTGAGGACATCTGTGTATGAAATTCTGGGTATTATAAACCTAATGTTTTCAGCAACCGTTTTTTACCTGTGCTCATATTGCAATTTTTGCTGTTATCATTACATGTTTTTACCAGAGCTCATATTGCAATTTTTGTTGTTATTATCGCTTTTCTCTGGCACTCCTTATTACTGGTTCCCATATTGTATACATTTCTATGCTTGGTCGGCTCAAGAGTTTGTTTGTGGCCTAGCAAATATGCCGATTCCTTAAGTTTACGAATTTTCCAATGGTGTTCTTTGTCTATGATCTCAACCTGATCCCACAGAGGGTGGTGATCTCCCTTCTCTCTCCATATGTGGTCAGCCACATTGCAATATGAGCCTCGGTAAAAAATGGTTGCTGAAAACATTAGGTTTATAATACCCAGAAATTTATACACAGATGTCCTCTTGGACACATGGCACAGTGGATAAAGGTGTTATTTAGATCCATTGACAGACCCAAAGAGTGTGAGTTCAATACCCGGCTAAGGCAGTGGAGAACTTTCAGAGGGAAATTAACAGGAGATAACTGGTAACTGACATCCATTAAATATGGTACGTGTAACTAGAACAGTCTACCGCCTGTGAGCGAAATAAAGAGTTCAGTTCGACATTCCAACCACCTGAAGAAGGCCGGAGCGTATAACGGCCGAAACGTTGTAATAAATATGGCGACAAAGATGAGGTCAGAAGTCCGAATAATGTAAATAAAGTTACGTGCATGTCTAACAGAGTAGAGAATTGTGTTCGTTTCAACTTCAGTTTCGAGATGTGGAAACTCATACCATTTTGAGCACAGAAAATTCTAGAAAATAGTTTCCATTGTTTTAGAATTTTCACAAAATTGATCTGATCTTATAAAATTTAAAATAAAAGGAAAGAAAATGTGTGTCTCTATTTTTCGCTTCAATTCTCATTTAAACAAGACAAAGACAGAATTCTTCCAAGCAAATTTTATAAATTTTTAAGGGTCTCTTTAACATTTTATTGTATTTTCCAATTTTCAAATAAGATTTTGTACATCAGGAGTATAACTGTTGATAAATTATTAGAAGTTCATGTTTTGTTCTGTTTTGTTCAATTACTTTCCATTGTCTCAGTCATTATCAAGAAATTGTTGTTGTCAGTATGGTAGATCCTGGCATTTTTACAGTGCTCAATCCAAATTGACATCCTCTGTAACGGTGAAATCGGACAAGATCGCACTGGAAAAGAATATATCAAGTATTTATACATATTATTATTTTGTACACATATCAGATAAACTGACCTCGTTCAGAAAGATTTTTAATGTGGTTTGTTTCTTCTGTATAATAATGACTTCTAAAATTTTGAAGCTTTGCAGTGAGTGTTGTAGAGTATTTTGGCATTATCTGCTAATATTGGTTTCATGTTGATAGTTGTATTTTGACTGTGATGCGATAATCCATTCATACTGCCTTAACACAGCTGCTCAGGGGCATACAGAGACGCACAAATTTAAATGCATATGTATATAGATACAAAAAAAAGATGTTGAAAAGGAAGAATTTAGTAAAGAAATAATGTTTGTGTCTGTGCGAGCAGACGTACGTTTCTCTAAGTACCAAGTCAACCTACAAGAGAGTGTGGTACGTGTATGGCTAGTGTATGAAGTCAGAGAAAGACACTTTCGCTTTTAAACAAAACTTTCGAAATATCTGTCTTTGTATGTACATGGAGGGGTAAAAGTAAACTTGCCTCCTTTCAACGAAACGAATGTACTTGATCTGCTAATCTGACGAATTGCCTTCACAAGCGACGTTTTCTTTCGTTTACAGAAATTCACCGTCATTTCTAAAATGATTAGTTTCTTGGTGAAATTTCGATTGTTGTTCTCTTAATCTTCCTTATTCTACAAAACAAAAAAAGACTCCATTTTAAATAGTGTAACATCAAAATTCCCGTTCCTTTTTTTTATTTATTTTTATTCTTTTTTATTCATTTTCCGACATTTCATTTTTCCGGATGACACCCACGCAGAAAAATGATGTGTCGGATGTAACGATTAGCTCTTGCGGAAGGCATGAATTCAGTTCTCCCTAATATCTCACGTCATTACCAGTTATTTTAATCACGTTCCTGACGCTAGCAGGTTATGCTGGTAAACAGAAAATAAAATTTCAGTGAGTACATGAGTAATCCACATTCTTGAGAATGTGGATTACTCATTGTTGTTCAGATAGTGGCAATAAAATGGCTGCTCTGTCCATTGTAAACACTGACAGAGAGAAATTCGTTGTATTCTTCTCCATCAAATATCATTTGCTGTTTTTTCACTTTCAATTTTAAATAATTTTACATTGTATATTCGCTTTTCTCCTATATGGTTTATTTTTGTTCTTATTTTACGGTGAAGGGAGTAGTGTGTGTGTGTGTGTGTGTGTGTGTGTGTGTGTGTGTGTGTGTGTGTGTGTGTGTGTTCTCCAAATATTATCTGAATAACTAGTTCTCACTTCTGTCCTGTTATTATCAATTGGCCATGAATTCTTTCTTTCCACAATCCTGAGGCTACCCATATAGAAATATGCATCCAACCAACCACTTTATCTTAAACTGTTCTCGAAACGTTTACTTTAAAAACCTGTTTCTTTTGCCTTTCACCGTGTTTTATTTATTCCTTTAATTTCTTTTTAACAGAGTTACAACGACAAACCTTCATTCATATTCATTGTTTTCATGAAACTCGCAAGGGATGGGGTGAAAGTAGGCAATGCTTCTTCAAATATTTGACTTAAATTCAATTTTCATAACAAAAAAAGAACATATCCGCCGGCGCCATTTTCCTTCTTAGTTATTCCAGTAACTTCCTTTATTGATTATTCTTAGATAAAATCTAAGGAAGTTAAAACAAAGGTAGCAGTTTTAGCAATGTAGTTAAGCAAACTTCCGATTAGCCAATATCAAAATGGTGACTACCGATAGTTCTGAGAATAGAAAATGGTAGAAAAAGAGAAAAGAAAATGTTACTAATGCAAGATCACCTAGTAATGTCCATGAGTGATAACAAAGTGCTTTCTTTGATGCCTGATCAACATAATGCTAAATTTTAAAACAATATTTCATAGTATTAAACCTCATAAGTATCGTGGATTTTTCAGCTATTGCACCGATCTCAAAATTAAAAGAAACTTCGCATTGATTATTTTTCACACTTTCTGCGTAATAGCCGCCACTTCTAAAAACATTTAGATTTTAGTTCTTGTATGATTCTGAAAAAAGAAAATCAGTAGTAATATATAAAAAAATCAATTTTCCTTATCGTTAATCGTTAATCTAAAAGCACTTTGTACACAATGAAAAGCACCACATTCAGCTTCATGGTGACTTTTAAGGACATTTAAGCCTTAGTAATACCAGTGTAGTTTTGATTATTACTTATAGATATTTAATAAGCTTAGCTCAGTGAAGTGTTGAAAGGAATTCAGATTGGAAACTGCCCCAACGGTTTATCTGCTTTTAAAAAATATCAGCATTTATTAATACTGAACTTGAACACTGACCAGTGCAAATGCGTAACTACCTTCAGCTACCAAACCACATTGAAAACTATTGTCACGGTTTCTTTTTATTTCTCTCGTCCTGACATCACTGGCGACATTAATGCATTTGAATAGTAATACAATTCATTGAGACTGGTTCAAGCGATGATCAGTGTTGACCTTAGCTCAAGGAAATCGAGGTGAAATCAGATGAGCCAGTTCTTCTGAGATGTAGGCTGCGTATGATTCAGCTATAAATTTAGAAATCCAATTAAATCTTCTCATCCAGATATTATATTGTAAAAGGCAACTTCAGTTTTAATATGTAACGATACTAGAAGAGACAGACGAATAAAAACAGAATATATTGAAAAAGATTATCAAACATCAACAGATGAGAGCAGATTAAGATTGATATTGTGGATATCAGTGATTTTACAAGTTCACAAATTTTATTTCGACAAGAACAATTGTGTAATTAACCTCTCAAAGTGTAAAAGCATGTTTGACTTCAAAATCAGCGTTTGAAACCCATTTATCTCGGTTCGAGGGCGGATCACTGGCACCAGAGTCACAAAGAGCAATACAGACAATTTAACAGAATGGTTGGTCTAAAAATATATTTTAAACATTGAAACATTTGTTTACTTTCTATCTATACCGCTGGAAAAATAAGCAGGAAAAAAATTTTCTGTGCGAATTTTTTATTTTATTTAATGACCTGCAACCCACGGCAAAACTCACTTCGTCGTAGTTATTTTTTTATTACCAAATTTAGTCAACTTTTTTGTTCCTTTCTTTCGTTTCTTTTCTTTTTTTTTCTTTTCACGTGGCGCGTGATAAGAGGTCTTTTTTTTTTTCGCAAAGGATTATCACCCTTCTGTTTATGATTCTTTCTCATCTTTAATGCAACGTAAAGAGGTTCATTACCTGTCTCTCATTTATTAAAGAATTTTTGCACGGGCGGAATCTAATTACCCCCGAGCTTTTATGGATGTAGGATATGGAATAAACGAAATAAATTTAAAAACAAATGAACATTTGAGGTATATATATCTTCGGATTTCTTATCATCTGCTGATAGATAGATAGATAGATAGATAGAGAGAGAGAGAGAGAGAGAGAGAGAGAGAGAGATTTCCAATGGAATATGTATCATTTTTACAAGTTGTTGACCATTGCACTACAGCATGAATCAGTCTTATTAATCCCAAATGCCTATGAATAGAAGGTCACGAAGTTGCTAAGAGATTTGCCGAAATCACTGCCGAAAATTTCTATTGTCAGATTTGAATCAAAAAGGAAATCTTTACTGAGTGAGTGGCGATAAACAGCACATTTATAGAGATCTGGACTTTTAGGAATGGTGTAGAGAATTGAAATACAAACCTCTATTCACTGCAAAGCACATAGAATATTTTTATATTTTTCCTTCGGTTTAATTTAATCCAATTATTTTCCCCTTTGCAATTAAATTACAGTGATATATTTTATATTTAATTCCAACATGTCTTTAAATAATACCTGTCCTTAAAAGAAGTATTTACAGAGCATCATTTGCTGCATTCTTGGAAAATTTTCAATCCATTTAAATAATTGGATATTGAACAACTGCTCAATTTTCAACACCAACAAGCTTTGGCTTATTAAAGAAAGGAAGAGCAAAGAGATTGTCGTCTTTTTTATTATCTTTGTTTTAAATACTTTCGTTTTTTAGTATTTTTGTTTTTATTTTTGATTCATGAATTTTCTACGCGTTAAAAATTTGTATTTTAGAAATAAACGAATGTAAGGATTCAAATAATTGTATTTTTTTATGCACAATTATTTCTATTTATTTCATATTTTAAGATATTTTTCTTTCAATATTAATGTTTTTAAAAGTTAACGGCAAAATAACTCCGGTTTGAACAAAGTTTCTCTTTTTATTCATTCGGTTTCTAAAAGAATATTCCCGGTTATTTTATGAATCATTCGGTCGAGTATTCACATCTTTGTTGTTTTTAACACTGTCGACTGATGCGTTCATCATTGCCTTAAATCTCGTTCACTTTTACTGTTTGTTCAACCACTGAATTACAGTATAGAATATGACTTGGCTATATTTTTACAATGGGGGCAATGATATCGCATATTCATCTGATTTCATTCTTTAAAAAAAATCAAGCGTTTCAAGCGGCAACCATGAACACGTCTCCAACCTGAACACGCGACAACTATCTTCTTTAATATGTGTCATGTGCCCAAAGAAAAAATTAACCACGTGTAGGAGCTCCCTAAACTTGGTGTCGTCACTTGGAGTGATCTGGAGTTAAAAGACGAAGCCACCTTCCTCAAGACATGTGTAGCTCATAGCGGGCACTAACGAGATGCTATTCGACTAAATGAATGACGTTGATGCCAAGTTCGTGGTTGGGGTAACTAAAAAAAAAAATCTTTTTTTCACTCAGACTCAACATTCATTGATTTAAGAAGTAACCGGACTGAGTTGCTTCCCTTTCTAATTAATGTTGTCTTCGTCCTTTCAGTGCTTGTTTTAAGCTATTAAACTAATTCTAAGATTTTGAAACTGGAATACTTCAGTGTTGATTATAATTTATCCGGTTCTGCTAAGACATTCAAACATTGGATACAAACGCTTAACAGCTTCATAAATTCATTACCAACTGATGTTATGCGAAACAAACTAAATATTCTCATAAATTACATCGTGCCGAATGTTTGCAACTACATTGCAGAATGTAATAATTAGGAAGAGTTGTATGTCAACCCAAAAAGAAATGAAATATTGACCCGTAACAGTTTTATCACAGTCACACAATAATCTAATGAAATACTGGATCAATTCTTAACTCTAATTTTTATAATGAATGTGTTCGGGAATTACTGGTGACTAGTGCAGCAGTAAAATACACTCGAGGTATTCTTCACAAGCATTATCAAATTCTGTTGAAGCGACTATGCCTGCTACTGCAATAGCAAAACAGACCTTGCTAGTTTTGTGGAAATAATCGCCATCTAAAACATCGGTTTTTGGCAAGAGATGTTGAGTGTCGTAAACGCAAGAAAAATGGCATTTTGAACAAACTGTAAGTTTTCAACATCGACCGCAGTCCCAGGAATTTGTAGAAAGAAAGATAATTTTCTTGTGACAAAACACAATCGTACTCTGTCTACTAACAGTGATTCGCCTTTCTCTGTTTGTCAGAATGTAATTGTAATAACTTGATTGATGCTGGTAGCACAGATAAGAGTTATATTAGTACGAAACTATTAGTAGCAAATTATTGAAACTTAAAGTCATCCTATCAAATGATGTCATAGGCATCGGAATCTCTTACAATCAGTAGGATATTCTTTCGTTTCAATGACATTACAAAAAAGAGAAGTAGCAATGGGTGAAATTAACTGTATTCGAAAATCTATGTACTGACATCATAATCGGTAAGCTTTCAGCAGTTACTTGTATGCATTACTGTTGACTATGGAGGTAAAAAGGCTACTTCTTACGTCCGTGTCTTGACAAACCTAAAAAAAAACATTAATGTTATATGAGTATATGATCAAGGATTTCAAGCCAGTGGTTACCAAAACGTGAAAATATACACAAAGTGGCAAAGATTACATAAAATGCGAAATAGACTGTCTTTTTAAGGCTGGGATAATAGGCCAAATAATTCACCATTACAAGTACATGTTGCAATGGATAAAGGGAAACATCGTATGTTAGCAAATTAAGGGTCAAATGGATATTTAAATTTTCTGATAAAATGAGACTTCTTAATTCTGTGAATGAATTTCCACTTAAGCATCAGTCCAAGTTATTGATGAGAATATTCTTTTTACAGTAGAAACAGATGCTTCAGATTTTGTAATTTAAGATTTTGTAACTTTAAGGCAAGCTGGAAGGCCTGTTGCTTTTCATTCTATAAAGAAAGAAGTTCATACTACCACTATAGCATGAACTTATTTTTCTATAAATCATTGAAAACATTTCCTATTTTCACTCTCATTACTGACCAACATGCTGTTGTCTACATGGATGATAATAAAACTTTAAGGAAAATAAAGAATGACAAAATTTTACACAAGAGAATAGTTTTCTCCGTACAGTTATATTCACTGCATATCCGGAAAAGAGAACGGCACATTTACACGAGTAAGTTTTACAGAAGCATTATACTGATTACATAATGTCTTGTGTCATCATGGTATAACTAGATTGCATTATTTTTTCTGTTCTAAGAACCTGTCATATTCATTAGAAAATGTTAAACATGTGTGCAAAAATTATCGTATATGTTAATAAATTACATCTAGATATTATAAACCAGAAACAGTTCGGCTTATTAAAATAACTCAACCAGATTGTCTATAGATTTTAAAGGACCCATTCCTTCTTCTAAGTAGAAACACATGTTGACTGCCATCGACGGATACTCAAGATCTCCATTTGCTTTCCCAGAGAAAGATATAACATCTGCAACTGCCAAAAAGTGTCTCAGTAATTTGCCTTCTGTTTTTGGGATGCCATTATATATGAATTCAGACAAAGGCACTTCACTTGTCTCAAGGGAGATGAAAGAATAGTTGTTCTCAAGAGGGTTAAGCACTAGAAAATAACACCTTACAACCGCAAAGGCAGTGAACAGGTAGAAAGTGACAACTGTATCGACTGGATATCTGTATTATTAGCGTTGAAATCACGGCAGTTATCTATAGGTAAATGATGAGAAAATGTTCTTCCACATGCGCTACATTCAATTCAATCTCTACTGTTGACTTCTACTAACTATACTCCTCATGAGCGGCTCATTAACTTTTAGCGGAAATCAACATCAGTACAGTCAATCCCGGTTAAGCACTCCTCGTCCTGACTTAATGAATGAAAAGAAATATGCGTCAAAGTAAATATGAACCAATCGTTGAAGAGGTAGATTTCATTGCGTCTTCCAAAAAGTTTCGTCTACCCAATTTCACTTACAATGCTTCGGTCAACTCGTAATATGGTTTTCAATTGTGTCGCACGTTCCCGGAGTTCAGTATTATCAACAAATCAATTCCTTGACAAATCTACAAAGTTGAGAATATATTATATTAATTGACACCTTAATTTTACTAGTCAATGTCAACTTAGATAGGCGTTATAAAAAAATGTTCATGAGAGCGCACGAGAATTCATCCTCTCATCTGCTTTTCTTTAAAGAACTTAACAATGTGAAACGAACGCTCGTCAATGACGGTTTTCCGGATTACCTTATAGATTGTCATATTAGACTTTTTCTTTCTAAAGTAACCAACAGCAATACTGAACATACAGATAAAGACAAATTTATCATATGAATGGTAACTATAAGCAGAATGTATCATCCCTTAGAAACATTATAAAGAAAAATGTAACTCCAGTCGACAATAACAAGAAAATTAATTTAATTATCTACTAAAAAAATTGAAACTGCAAACCTCACCGCCAACAGCAATAACTCACCTGAAAGATCCAAATTACAGAGAACCAATATTAATTACGAATTTACATGTCCCTCAAGGAACTATGTTACTGCTCAAACCAAATTAATGAATAATTATATCGGATATACTACAATATGCCTAACAAGGAGAATCACGTTATATCTCTCTGGCTATAACTAAATTAGATCTCATATAAATGCACATGTGATCTACCGAACTCCATCCGCAAAATACCCGTTGATAATACAAATGTAATAGCCTCATCCACATGTAGAAAAAAGTGAACCTAATGGAACCATTATTAATGAAAAAAGAAAAAGCCAACATTCAATAGCATCAACTGTGAACACGGCCACAATGTGCTGACTGTGTTTGGATAATAAAACATTCCTGTAACTTTACATACAAGACAAAATAATTCATACATTCAGTTAAAAGTAAAAATAAAGCCAACCTTAATAACGGTTAAACGTATAGCCGAAAGCACTCGAATATACGGAAGATTCGAACAGTTTCTACATAATTTATGTTCAGGAACGAAGAAAATTATAAGAACACAAGAAAAATTAAATAACAACCTCAACTGCAGTACCTTGTCAATCAATTTTAATGAAACTTGTATAAAAGAGGAATTGCTGCACAAATACACACTATATGATTTTTTATATATATATATATATATATATATAT